GATTTTAATTACAATTTTATATCAAGGATTAAAGTTATTAGAAGTCATTTGTAATTTCTTTCTTGCATAACACGAATTAAAATTATTTTTTCAGCTGTATATCATTCATGTGGTGAGTTTTGTGCAACAGATTTTGGTTGTAGTATTGATTTTTAATGCAGCTGCAACATCAGCATTTTTACCACTATAAGAGATTTGTGCTGGCCTCTTGTTTTCAGTGCCAGATGTGTTGGACTTGGTTTTGTATGAATAGTCCAGAGACCAGAGTATTTCTTATCTGTTTGCTTCTCTGAATTTCTGTCTACCAGACAAGTATCCCTATAATGTTAGAGAGATAGATGATATTGTCTTTGTTCTCTAGTGAAGGCTTGCATGTGAAAAGTATCAACACAGTTAGCTTTCTACAATTTTCAGATCTTTTTCAGATAAGAAGGTAGGTGTGGTTGTCAGCTTGAAAGAATCATAGAATCATTTGAGTTGGAAAAGACCTTTAAGATCATCAAGTCCAACGTTAACCTAACACTGTCAAGTCCGCCACTAAACCATGTGCCTAAGCACTACATCTACCTGTCTTTTAAATACCTTCAAGGATGGGGACTCAACCAGTTCCCCGGGCAGCCTGTCGCAATGCTTGACAACCCTTTCAGTGATATTTTTTCTTAATATCCAACCTCCCTGGCATAATTTGAGGTCATTTCCTCTTGTCTTATCACATGTTACTTGGTAGAAGAATCTTTAGAAAGCATACTGATTTTAATTAAAAGAACTAAATTGAGTATTTGTTCTTGTGTCTAACTCCCTTCTCTTCCCCCTGCTGCTAACAAGCTTTTCTGCTGCTGTTAGCAGAAATCCAGTGTGTCTTAGAAATGTTTTGCAGGTAAAGTAATAGTACGCTTTCACCCAAACTTCCCCCAGGTTACTGCAGTGCATTTGTGTGTGTATACACAGACATGCGTACACTGTTTTTTATCTGTATTCCTTAGTTATGGAACAAAACTTCAAATTTCCCCCTCCCTCCCCAGTCTGAAAAAAACTCATTATTTAGGATAATTCTTTTTGGATGCTTTCTGACATGCTTAGGAACATAACTGTTTACAGATTTTCTTTCACTCTCTTCAAACCCCATATCATGTCCTCTGTTACTCTGTATAAGCCATGAAATATATTTAACCAGGCCATTTGAGTCTTTCATTGTAGTTATAAAAAAAGTGTGCTCCTAGCTTTGATTCAGGTTCACATCCTACGGAGGCAAATGAAACTTTGGTTAGAGCTTTTAGCTCACAAAGCCAAAAAACCCTTAAAATTTACTGCCCTTTAAGTACTATAATAAACAGTCATCAAATAGAATGAAAGGTGCCTCTTGCTAAGCAATAATGATAATTGTAATGGTTAGAAAATTATAGATGTGTTTCATTCAGCTGAGGACTTGTCTTCTGGAGCTGACAGGCCAGGGACACAAAAAAATATCAAGATGTTATGGCACTGGAATAAATTCTTCTCTTTTTCCATCATTTCAGAGCCTTCCTTATTTCTCTTAAATCAGTACAAGTGCCCTTCTGTGAGAGCAGTCAGTGCTTCTGCTGAGTTGTGCTGAGTGTTCTGCAACACCACATCACATGGCAACTGCAGCAGATTTGTGGGGCAGATTGCTTTGTTTTCATGTTCTGCTTTTTGAGGAAGACATCATTTCCTAATG